TGAGTTCTTGCACAGGATCAAAATTGTCATTCCCAGATGTTCAGTGCCAGCTGTCTGGGAAGCACAGCTCCTGTTCACCATTCTGTGTATTGGTAGACAGCCTTTTGAGTGGCTGACAGGAGTTGGAGCTACAATCCTCTCTCTTCACCACTCTCTCTGCCACATCCACATAGACAGACAGAGATACTCTTGGACTTCTAGAAGAATACGAATGAGAAAATACCAGGAAGTATAGAGAACCCAAATTCCAGGCAAAATCGCAGAGCTGAAAGAACAGTCTTCTCAAGAAATTTTATCTTAGTCACTTCCTTGACTGCAATTTTCTCAAATGTAATTGCTGTGTAAAATCATTTGCTGATTTGTTTCAGGGAATCATTTCAGGCCTTCACTGAATTCCAGCACAGTTTTGTACATTTTAACTCTGTGTTGTTTTGAACTGTTATGCTCAATTATGAAAATCATGATTACTTTTGTATTCCCTGACTAGCAAAAATAAATATAAAACCAAAGATGCTTCTTGGCTATTCAGGCTAGCAAGAACAAAACCTGCTTTTTATCACTACTCATTTCAAATCCTGGCTTGTGTGAACTTTACTGATGAGAAAGCAAACACAGAAAATGTTCAAACAATAAAAACAAAATATTTTAGAAATGTGAAGAAATATTCCACTACAACATAATTATGAAGAGCACTACTTCAACCATACAATGAGATAAAAAATGGAGAAGTTTAAATATTTTGGAATTTGCCATCTCATTCTTTGCCTTCAGCTGAAACAGTTTGTTCATAAGTAAAAAAAACCCCTTCCATGTTAAACCAATTTAAACTGGCAGCACTGCATCAGTAATCACACTTCATGTCATTCTGTGATTATGTGATTCTGCTGTAGAAACTCTGAGACTTATTTTATGCCACATTGCAAAAAATCTATAACAAATGTAAACACTTGTAAAATAACATTTAACATATACAAAACATAGATGCTTCATTCTTTCCACAATACTCTTTTAATTTGTTAGAACAATTTTTTCTATCTTATTTTAATTTAGACAATCTTTCTTCCTAAATTTGTCTTTAACAAAATACAAATTAGTTTATTGTGAGAAAAGCATGAAAGCTCCATAGGCATGAATTCATAATTGCTCTTATCACATTTATTCCATGTAGAGACCCTCAAAATCAATAATTTGGTGTAGAGGAAGGAATGTGCTGCCCCTATTAAGAGGAATCATAAAACATGCTTTGTAAATTTAGATAAAGCATCCACAAAGCATCCTTTGCTAGGTGCTGATTTGTCTCTCAAGGTAAAACTCTAGATTGCACTGATACCAGAAGAAATTTTATCTTTATATTCATCTTAGTTAATATTTGACCCTGCAAGGTCTCAGCCATCACAAAATGTCATCCCTTGGTAACTATGTGGTTGGAAGAAGTATGCAGGTGGGCCCAGAGGTAACGGGGTAAGAGTTCCTGGTATTGTGCACCGCTGGTACCTCTGGTTTCACCCAAAAGAACACTAAAAAAGAGTGCCATGCGACTTTCTTGCAGAGGAGAACTGCCGACGAAGGATGCGTATCTGCACAATTTTAAAGTTTGATTCTGCAAAGGAGGATCAGTGTGATCAGTTTGATGTTTGATCCTGGGGTGTAGGTGATTTTTCTGGGTGATTTGCCCCAGGGCAGCCTGTGAAGAACAAGGTCCCAGGTCTCCTCAAGCAGTTAGGATACTTTTTATTGTACACAGGTGCATGGACAGAGGTACAAATACCACATTTCAGGCACCGACGCCAGGTAATTTAAACAAGCAATTCTCAGCTGTTGCCCCTCATTACAGCTGAGGTTGAGTTAATTTCTTCTCAGTAACTATTACACGGCTGTGTTTTGGATTTGGAATAAGAATGCTGTTGATAACACAGTGATGTGTTTGGTATGTTGCCAAGTCGTGTTAATTCTAAGTCAAGCACCTTTTCCCCCCCGCCCCGCCTCTTGTCTCACGCTCTGCCAGGGAGGCGGTAAGCAGATGAAAGTGGGAGGGAGCATGGCCAGGACAGGTGACCCGAGCTGACCAAAGGCATGTCCCACACACAGAGCGTCATGCCCGGTGTATGAACTGGAGGAGTTACCTGGAAGGGCGGATGATCTGGTTTCAGGAAGGGGAGGTCTGGCCCAGTCAGTGGGTGGTGAGCAACTGCATTGTTGCGCTTGTTGTTGCTTCAATTATTAAACTCCTCTTATATCAACATACAAGTTTTAATTCGATTCTGCTCCGCATTACACCGATGTGAGAGGACAAGAAAGGGAGGGGCGGCGGGGAAGTTGAGCGGCGACCTGCTCCACCTCCAGCTGAGGTTAAAACCACAACAGCTATGCCTTCCACATCCCCGTCCGCCGATGCTCGGTGCGCAGGCGGCGGCGCGGATTGCAGAGGAGGCCCTAGCGCCGTCCCGCCCACGGGAGGGTCTGCCATACCCGTACCGCCCCGTACCGCCCCGTACCGCCCCAGCACCGCCCCGGCACCGCCCCGGCACCGCCCCGGCACCGCCCCAGCACCGCCCCAGCACCGCCCCG